AGGACTTTTTTTATAGAATAAAGTTGAAAAACGAGCTCACAGTCCACCTGATAGTGATTGGATGCTGTGACCCATAGACATCTACATTTATTCTGGATTAGGAATCAAAATAGAGGTGCGTTGTCACCCCTGAGGACTAAGACGGAGTGCCTCGTAACCAGTAAAATGGATCTCCGGACACCATACGAAACACAGCAGTATTAAGCTACTATTTTAAGCTGGTATTCTGTGAGAGCGTGGTCTTTCCCCGGTCGAGCCGACCCATTCGTGCTACAACTATAATATAGCTGCAACGTACCTCTACCACGTATAAAACTATAGTTATCAGCAACCAAAGCTGGTAATTCTGGCAGCAGAGATGATGAAAATGAATAAAAAAGCAGTTAAAAAGAACTTAAAAAGTAGTTTTGAGAAAAAAACAAGAATGATAGAAGAATATCTGATAAAACTTCATGTTTACGTAGAAACGATTCTAATAAACGTAGTATAATTTACTTTTTTGTAGTATTAATAACAATTATAAAAATTTTCCTTGATTCTGGAGAAAATTCTTGAATAGGAACATCATTTTGAAGAATTTGATTATAAAGTAGAAAATCAAGAAATCAAGTGAAATTTACTTGAGCCAAGATAAATTTGTTGGTTAAAAAAATTCTACTTGCTACAAGATGATCAAAGAATTTAAACAAATCAAATTTTTTCTAAACTGTTTTTTTTGTGTAAGAAGAGTTTAACAGACACTACACGTAAGTTGTTGTATCCCCAAAATAGCAATTTTACAGTAGAGCCTTTTAGAGATTCAAACTGGACTAAAAACTGCATTTATTATTGTATTTTTATGAAATTTGATAAATGAACTTAGTTGTTAGTATTCTGGATTATATTTGAAGATAATTTTAAAACATATGTATATTTTCTGAGATATCGTTTATACTACGTTTTACCGGAGTACCGGCTGCGTCAGTTGTTGCATCTCATACTTACAATATTATACCGTGGAGTACAGGCTACGTCGGCTGTTGTATCTTATACTTACAACATTGCACCGCGGTGTTTAGAATTCCTCAGTTTTTGTATGTGATAGTTAACAATATTGATTATAAATATATGTCTCATTTCGCTGTATGTAGCAAATACTAGGTATTCAGAAATTAAAACATATATTATCAAGTATAAATTTCTTTTTTTTTTATAAAAAGGACACATTTAGATATTTTTAGGAACGTTTTTATCAACATTGCAATAAAAGTGCTTATATTCATTATTCACACATTGGCATTAAGATCTTAGAAAACGTCTTACAATGTATATATAAAATAAAATAAATAAATAAATAAAATTGATTTATTTCAGACTGTTGTCCATAATATTGTTAGTAGCATACAAAGACATCTTAAAAACTAGGTTAGTAATATTTTGGAAAATATTTATTTTAATTTAAATATCTGCCTGCACTGCGCGACACCCCTGCAACATGTGTGTGAGCGTACACCCAGTGCCGCAGTATCGGACAGTCAGGCTTTTCACTGATTACTCTGAGAATGGTGTTGGCGCTCCCCCGCACCGTGCGCAGCAGGGATGCGATTCGCTTGCGCACTACGGTGTAAAACCCATCAGTGTGCGCCAATGCAAACATCCCTGATGCACTACAGTAACTTGGAAGCCCCAACAACATTCTCAGACCATTATTATATTGTACTCGGAGAGCGCCGACAGCCCCCCGCGTGTAGTTGACCCATAGATTGCACGTATAAAGCGTTTGGCAGTATGCCTTAAACAGTGTTATTTTTACATCTGGACTGCTACGTGCAAATCTGCGAGCCAACATGTTGCAGCGGACTGCCATCACCCTCCTTTCCCTTTCAATATCCTTGTCATCCTTCAAGTCCTCGGTAACCACGTGACCGAGATACTTGAAGGATGGCACTCTACAAGTTCACTACCGTTGAGTTTGACAGGCGGTACATACATCACCTTACGAGTCCTGGCTTTAAAAACCATCAACTCGCTTTTCCTAGCATTATACAATAGGCCGTGGGATTCAGCATACTCCTCGCATATTGAGATCAGCCTTCTTAGAGCAGCAACTGACGGGCTCAGCAACACCATGTCGTCCGCGTAACTGATGCTGTTTACACAGAGACCATCAATGAAACAGCCGACACTGGTGTTGCCAAGCCTAACAATCAGCTCTTCTATATACAAATTAAAAAGCGTCGGGGGAGGTCAAACCACCCTGCCTCACCCCACACTCCAATCCGTACGCATCAGAAAGCTGATCCAACCATTTGACTTGGTTAGTCTGGTGGCCATACCAATATTTAAGAATATTTATAATCTCACCAGGAACTCCTGAATTTTGTAGTTTTTTCCACAGGATGTCATACCTAACCAAGTCAAACGCCCTGGACAAGTCAAGAAAAGCCGCGTAAACCGGAGTCTTCCTATCCATATAATACCTGACAGTATGCTTGAGAGCCAGAATGGCGCACTCAGTTGACAGTTTTGGCCTGAAACCGAATTGAGCGTCGTGCAGAACCAGGTGACGCTTGAGCTGTCTCTCAACCAGACCGTCAGGTACTTTTGCTGTGATGGTAGCTAATGAAATCGGCCGATAGTTGGTCTTATCGGATATATCTCCAGTTTTATTCTAAACTCTGCAGGCAGGTATGAGTGTCTGATACAGAAAGTAAATAGCATACCTAGTAACCTCGGGAGATGCGGCCCAGCATACATGAAGTGCTCAATGCTGAGGCCGTCATGACCCGGCTGACTTGCCTCTTTTCATACCTTTAATTAACTGTTCAACCTCTTTAGCTGTCACACGTTTTGGCACACCAGATACGATTACCTCAACATCAGCACCCCGTGCATTTAGCTGCGACTGCACCCTAAAATGAGAACTGAACAAGTTAGCTATATCTCTGGGGTCTTGAATACCCTCAACGCTAATCGGTACGCTAGGCTTCGGACTTAATTTCCTGGTGTGTTTCCAGAAGCTTCGAAAATCTTTATCTTTGTGATAGGTAGCTAAAATATTAATTTTAATTAATTCTTGATTTTTTTGACAGAATTTTAATTTTTCCTTAAAATTTTTCCTAGACCTATACATATCCTCATAAATACGACCTTGTGAGGGTCGTCCGTACCATACCCAAGTCAAAAATGCTTGCCTAGCGTCCTGGTGAGCGTCACGTACATATTTATTCCACCCGGCAATGGGTCGACCACCCCTCTTATTGCCTCCCCCCTGACTGTAATTAAAACTAATCTCCGCGGCCTCTTGGAGTGATAAGATTATATTATTGTAAAAATTGTCAATTACGTTAATGTGCTCTAGGCTCCAATCATTACAAGTTGAATCACAACACTTCTCAAGCTCATGGGGAAAGTCAATTAATTTTAATTTTTCGTTACAAACTCTAGTAAAGATTTTTGTTTGTTGCTCATCACGTTCTTTATTTTTTTATTTACCAGATTACTTTATTTAAAGTGGCCTGCGGCAGCCCCGTCGACTGTGTCAAAGTTTTAATATTGCACTGAATTTCTAGTGGAAAATGGTCTGACCATAATACATCATAATGCACCTTAACGTCAGCAACGGAACTACGGGCGGCCTCAGTGATCAAACAGTGGTCGAGCCAGCGCCGACTGCCATTAATTTCACTAATATATGTGTATGTGCTAGAACTATGACCTAACGTTTTTAGATCTATGCACTCCCAGTTTTGATCGTTACAAAAATTTATTAGTTCTTTACAAAAAAGCTCCCCCTGGGTGTGCATTAAAATCTCCTAAAACAAATACAGTTTCAATGTTATTGTTCTCTACTATAGCCGCTATTTCGCCTAAGCATTCTACATACTCTACAAAATTTTCAGGCGAATTAGTAGGCATATAAACTGAAAAAACTAGCATTGAACGACTCATAACACAAAGTTTAATTGCAACTATACGATCACTCGCGCATGGTATCACAGACACACACTCAAATTTTGAGCTATTCCATAAAAGAGCCACCCCACCATATGGTCTTCCTCGCAATAGTCCTGATGACGTATCAACCGCTGACTTGCCAAAGTATCCGAAAGATACATATATATAAAGGAACATAAATTATTTTTATAAAAACGGATTTATAGAAACGGACTATTTATGATTAATTAGTAATAACTATGTCGACAGAAAAACAATAATGTTATTTAAGGCATAAAAAGGCTTTTGTACATATTTCAATTTATGAAAAGAATAAAAATCAAGACATAGCTAACAAATTATTCTTAAGAACTAATTAAAATATACTCATAAAAATTTAACACTATGGAACATAAAAAAAATATTACGTATACGTAATAATATATATGAGATCTACTTAAAACCAAAATAACTAGAAATCAGGTATGTATTAATGGTTATTGGCATTGTCACTATCCTTTGTTTAATTTTTAATTATAATATTGAAATTTGTTTTTCAAAATTATAATAAAAAAATCTGGACGTTGAACATCTCAATCCACCCCGTGACCATGCGTCATGTAACGTGCTCGACACATCAGACATAAAGTTGAATATACGAATTATATAAATGTGTAGTATTCGCGTAAATATAAGAATTACTTGTAATCATTAATGAATAAAAAATTATTCTATTCTGTTCTATTCTATTTCCAAGGCTGAGCACAGGCCTTTTCTTATTTTAGAGAGTTACGTGTGTGTTGGCTATATTAAAGACTCTGATACGATAAATTTATTATAATGGTCATGTTTGTCAATAAAGGCAATAAAAAAACTATATTTTAATCAAATGCTTTATTTTATTTGTAACAAAATGACGTTGATGTCGTTGCTTCGTTGCATGAGCAAGTTTAGTTCAATCCTCTCGTGAAAAGTTTATTCTAGTTATAAAAATATAGTTGTTGTCTCTGTATCAGCAAGATTTCATTACGTTTACAGTTTTCCGGCGGAACGCCTTTGTTCACAAAGTTTATTAACATTTTCAACTAGTGGGATTTTGTTTTTTGTTCCTTTGACATCTGTGAATTTGTCAGTACTGGTTTTATTTCCTCTGCAAAAATAAATAAGTTATATATTTGTTCTCAGCCTCTATCGTTCACTGCTAAACCTAAGCCTCTTATTAATTTACATTTGATCATAAATATAATACTAAATAATTGTCACTTTTCTGTTCTTCCTCATCAAGGATATGATTTTATGCTTGGCGATCGGAGTGCCATAATTTAATAAACCCAGAATACTGACAGAGAGCTTCTTTAAAAGTGCAAGCAAGACTGTATTATCATGTCTTAAATCCTGCCTATATAGACACACGCCTATGTCTACCAGTGGAACATGAAACAGAAAAGGTGTTAAAGTAAAGTTAAAGTTAAAGGTGTAGAGTACCGGAGACCCTTTGTACTGGAATTAGAAGGCATTCCGTCTTAGTCCTCACGGGTGACAACGCATCTGCATTTTTATTTGTAATCAAAGATAGATGCAGATGTCATGCCACAGCAACCACTTACCATCAAGTGGACAGTGTGCTCGTTTGTCACCCAATCCTATATAAAAATAGTTCAGGTTGTAATTTTTCATTGTCAAGTTTCTAAATTTTGAGGGAAAATATTGTAAACTTTGAATTCTTTCCAGAATTTTGATCTCATCTTATCGCATCTAGCCGTGAGCCGTGGTAGCTCAGTGGTTAACGCTCGCTGCAAATATAACAGAACGCGAGTAACCCGGGTTCGATCCCCGCCGGCACCAATGAAATTGTTAATTGCAATTTTAAGTGCTGATTTACCACGTGCTCGGCGGTGAAGGAAAACATCGTGAGGAAACCTGTATGTCAGAGGAATAAGAAAAAAAATATTTCGAAGACATGTGAAGTTCGTCAACACGTATTTGGGCAGCGCGGCGGACACTTCCTTGCCCTAAACCCTCTCAGAAATGAGGAGAGGCCTGAGCCCAGCAGTGGGACGTATATAGGCTGTAACTTTACTTTACTTTTTTTATCTCATCTTATCATCCCATAGCGTCCCTCAGCTGGACAAAGGCCTCTCCAACCTTTTGCCACCTTTAACGGTTCTGGTCTGTGGAGGAGCACTCCTCATGAAGGACTCCAGTCATCCCGACATCGTTTTCTGGGTCTGCCTTGGAGTCGCCTGCCATTTATAGGAGTCCACAGAGTTGTACTTTTGGCCCAAATTTCTTATGACATATTATGGCAGACATTACCTACTTAGTCCCATTTTAAGGTAGCAGATTTACGGGAGACGGCAAGATTTGGGTTTCGGAGCGCAGAGTGGTATTTCTGATTCGATCTGTTAGTCTGACTCCCTAGAATGCTGCGCTCTATTGCTCACTGACACACCCCAAGATTGGACCTCTGCTGTTTGGTGAGAGACCCGTTTTGGGCACCGTATGTCCAGATGAAAGGATGCACGTGTCCATGAGTTTGCGTTTAGGGGATATTTATGCACTGCCCTTAATCATTTGTATTAAGACCCAATATCTCTTCCAGGCGTTTACTATTCGTCGGGCGAATTGTTTTCTTGGCTCGTCTGGGAAGAGACCATTTGGCCTAAATAAACGTTCTCATGAACATATTCAACCTCCACGTCATATATATGTATCCTGTGCTTGACATGGTTTTTCATTAACTTGGCCTTTTCCCTGTTCATCAGAAGTCCAACCAAACTTTGTAATGATGTAGTCACTTTCAATTGAAACTAAACCATCATGGTCCAAGATCTATGATAAAAAAATATACACAAAAATTATCAAATTCTCTTCACAGTATCAATGCTTTGTTTGAAAAGATAAAATTAAAGAACACACTGTACGTTTTTGCTTCAACTTCTTTCGTAGTGGAAACTTCAATATGAAAAATGAACTACGAGATAGACCGAACGCAAAGGTAAATAAAGACGAATTAAAAGCAATGGTGGAGGAAGCAGATGTCTATGAGATAAAAAAGTAATTAGCGTCATGATTTGATTCTAGTTTACCCATGATATTGACTTATTTTTAACCGACTTCAAAAATGGAGGAGGTATACAACTTTACTATATTTTTTAAATCCTGTCACAGAACGACAAAAAACAACACTCGTAATAAAAATAAGTTATTCACTACTGTACGCTATTTTTAAATATGTTTTTGATTAAAACTCGAAGAGACCTGCTTTACTGTGTCAGCATAACGAACACATTTTTTATGTGTGTTACCTTAGATTTTTTTTCTAGGTGCACAGATTTCCTTAACTTTTTATTTGAAAGCTGATGCTTTCCATATGGTTACATTATAATTTAATCAAGATTTAACCAGTTGTTTTTGATTTATTCTTAATAATGCGTATTTAAGTGATTTTGGCTACATTGATGATGATCTCATTTTATTTATAATGAATTCATAGTCACACATTTTTTTTTTATTTTAGCACTTATTACCAAATTGGCATACAGCAAATCGTGAAGCGAGAACTGATATGTATAGAGAAGGACGCGTTGAAGCTTGGCTTGATTTGACAAGTATATCTCCAGAAATAAAAGGATTTTTGACAGAATTTTGGCTTGTGATGGAAAGTAGATTTTAATGATAATCGTAAACGAAACACGTATTCGCCGAATAACAAAACTAGGCCTTATAGTAAAGCTCATTTATAGAAAAGTAATGGTTAGGTGAAAAATTGTTTTGGAAAAATTGTTTAGTGATTACTTCATGGTGTATTTCACTTTAGCTTTTTGTGATCCCTTCTACCAATAACAGCAGAGCTTCAAACAATAATGGCGATTTTTACCAGCGAAACAAGGATTGTTTTATACAGTCTTCGAACTTACACTGCTCAATTACCACTATAACATCACAAGACCCGTTGTTAGACACCATATGTCTTGTCTGTACTCACCAAACTTAGCCTTAACTGATTAACATTTTCTGCAATTTAGAGAATCGTTCCTTAGTTTGTCGCAAGGCAAAATTTTCTTCTCAAGAGTTAGTACAAAATATTTTCATAGTTTGGCAGATTTCAGATCCTCAGAATCTATATCTATAGTAAAGACATAAATGATTTCCCGCGAGATAAAAAAATATAGATAACGGAGTTTAAACAAATATATATTTTCTCAGAAAACACGGATTCGAATGTTAAATATAAAACACCAATTTCATACTTTAACTCCCAATACATATATCCGATAATATATTAAAAATTCTGAATTTAATACGCAGTAAGCATGACATCTTTTGAGAGGAAGGCCACACACAACGGTACAAAACAATAAATTAAAAGTAATGGTGGAGGAAGCCGGTGCTTATGAAACAACCAAAAAAAAATAGCGTCATAGCTTCTATAGTAGTGCGTACACCAAATGTTAAAATCTTGTGCTGTTAGTAGTATCCGACAGCTTATAAAAATTAAAAATGGCTAGGGGAATATGATAAATACCCGGATCTGCGGTTTTCTTGTCTTTGAAGTCAGGATAATCCCAATCCATACGATTTGAAGTCCCAAGTATCAAATATACGATGTTTGTGATGACAATCACTGCTGCTATTATCAGGAATACGATTCGCCATCTGCGTATATCAGTCTGTAAATAAAAGTAACTATCGCTTATTCAAAAAATATTTGTTTCACGATTCAAAGTTATGGTCTTCTAAAGAAGAAGATTACCTATAAAAGTAATTCTATAGAAGAAGATTACATACAGTATTTTAAGAGTACCTATACAAAAAGTATAGTAATCTTAGTTCGCTGGTTTTGTATAAAACGTATTTTACTTACAGGGTCATTACGTAAAATAAAACTGGTGACTATGGGTGTAAAAATGCTTCCTAAATTAGCAACGGAGCAACTCAAAGAGAGCATCACGCCGGCGAAGTTCGGAGACATATCCAGGAGACTGATCTGTGAATTGAAAGGTAAATATTTTTTTTCAAAAATCCAGAAAAATGTCACGATCTACCAGATATTTTATCACAATAAGAAATTGCAACCTTCAAAAAATGAAGGCTTTATATGTCTGTTCTGAGAAATAGGATATTATAATGCTGCTAAACCAGCTTTCCATAATATTTAGGCAGTAATAAAGAAGTGGATACAATGCTGCTTGGCGGCAAAAATTGGCAAGAACTGTATATATCCACACTAATCTGTAGTATATGGACTCTAATATATATTTATTTATTATTTATTTAAACTTTATTTGAACACACAAAAGAAATGTACAAAACGGCGGACTTAATGCCTAAAGGCATTCTCTACCAGTCTACCTTTGGTTTGTGCAGAGAATCTAGTGATGGGTGCAAAACTCATAATAAAAAAAATTAAAAATTAAAATAAAAAAAATTAAAAACCAGCGTGCACCAGTCAGAAATAACTGGACCCACGCGAACAGCCTGCTGACGTCCCTGAAGATAGGATGCGAACCATTCCCACGCTGATGAGGAGAAACCAATATGAGAAAGTATTGTAAGAAGGATGTCATGATCAACAGCATTAAAAGCGTTTGAGAAATCTATTAAAACTAACACAGTTAATTTTGACTCCTCCATACCTATACGTAAATCTTCCGTAACTTTAAGCAGGGCTGTTGTTGTACTATGTCCTGGCCTGAAACCTGATTGATAGCTACTTAAAAAGTTATTATTAAAAACGTAGTCTGAAATTTGTCTGTGAGCAACAGCTTCAAGTACTTTTGATAAAAAAGGAAGAATAGAGATAGGACGAAAGTGAGAAACAGAACTAGGATTATTTATTTTTGGAAGTGGGAGAACAAAAGCATTTCGCCATAGTGAAGGAAAAACCCCAGTATTTAATGAAAAATTTACTATGTGGGTAAGTACTGGTAAGACATAAGCGAGGATGAGATTGATCATGATTCTGCTCACATCATCAGAGCCTACTGCGGCGGACTTGATGGAAGAAATTGACTTTTTTATATCCTCATCAGTAACGGGAGAAAAATTGAAAGAGCTTTTGTAAAATTTTGGAAGAGAATTAACATGGGCAATAGTAGTAGATTTAATTGACGAATGCAGCTGTGGTGCAGTAGAAAAGTATGTATTAAGTTGATTAACAGAGAAGATTGAAGGATCAAAGTTAGAAGCAGGTTTACCTATCCCGATTGATTTAAAAAATTTCCACGAATCAGCCATAGAAGCGTTAAGGATATTTCGATGAATATAACGGCATTTAGCGGCCCGCACCATCTGATTACACCGATTCCTAGCGGCTTTGAATCGAGTCCAGTTAACAGTACACCGATTACTCTTATATTTACTAAATTCTCGATCACGCTTTGCTATAGCCCTGCGGATATCCTCAGTAATCCACGGCGCAGGAGATCGTTTCAGTCTGACTTTGTGTGGAGGAGCGTGTTTATCAAACAACTTCTGTATATTTGAATTAAAAAGAGCTACTTTTTCATCAACACTCTCTACGTTGTAAGTATCAATACAATCTATACTACAAGCACCTTGCTGAAGTTCTTCAACATTAAGTCTCGCTAGATTACGCAGATGCACCATCACATGATTGACCTTAGGACATTTAATCCTATAAGAAATATACATTAAATCGTGCCGCGAAAACCCAGGGGCGGAGAGTTGACCGTGGCCAACGACATGGTCTTCAGAAGCGACCACTATTAAATGTATTAAAGAATCAGCAGTATCAAGATTGTGGTGTGTGGGGTCGAGAGGAAGAAGTGACAAATTAAAGGAGTTCATAACTGTATACAATTCACGTGACCTCGCAGAGTTACAGAGAATATCGGTATTGAAGTCTCCTATTATAATAAAGTGCTGATAATCAGAGCCGATAGAAAAAATAGCCGATTCAAGGTCACAAAAATAATTAACTCCTGGTGGACAGTAAATTGCACCGAGAACAGTCTTAGTCCCACTGATGGTAATCTCCAAGAACATGTATTCTATTGTACCGGAATAAACAGAAGAAGAAGCACATAATTGTTTATAGGGTATACCATTACGTAAGTACACCGCTACAGCCCCACCTCTTTTGCCCATACGATCATTTTTTAAGAGGACAAAACCAGGTATTCTAAAGGAGGTGGACGGTAAGGTAGGTTTTAACCAGCTTTCCGAAACAAGTATCGCAGAAATAGACTGATTATGAAAAGTATCAACAAGTTCATTATAATGTTGCGGAATGCTCCGAGCGTTAATGTAACAAACGTTAAAGTTATTAGTCAAACCATGAAACTTTTGAGTAAGCAGATAACGAAGAGTAGCAGGTTCCGAAAAAGAGTCATTTAGTGAAAAAAAAAGAAGAATCTGAATCAACAGAGAGAAATAGTTCATTGGTATCGGACAATCTGTCATAATATATGATTATACTTACGATATATGTGTATGTATTATTTATATAATGTATATATATATATATATATATATATATATATATATATATAATAGTCAAAAAAAATTGAAAAAAAAAAACCCATTAACTGATAATTGCACTGCAAACAAACGCGCCGGTAAACTGTTTACAAAAGAAAAATTAAAATATTACACGAAAACAACTAGTAATACTTACTACAAGAAAAATTTTAATTATTTACAATTGCAGAGACAACAAAAATCAGACGTATAGAAAAAAGGGAAAAAAAAAATATGTTAATCACTACGAGAAATGGTAATTTAAACGAAAAAAAAAAAATACTCTAAAGCGTAATTTCACGAAATTTAAGGTTCAGATTAGTCTGTACTATTACTTGTGTCGCAAACCAGCCTAGTAACCGGTTGCGGAGAACAAAAGAATCGAATACAAAAGGCTCAGTGACGTACACAGTACACACAGCAGTAGTAGTAATTAATAAGCCGTCGAAGTGTAAACAAAGTATTACCACTAACCCGAGAATGTTTACTTATTTCTGAATGCTCGTCGGGTTCTTGGCTTCTCGCTACGGGAAACTACACTACTAGTTCCTGCCTTCACTTTGTTCCGGCTCCTCGTTGCACCCAGCTTTATGAAGATCGCGCAGTAGTGCATCCAGGTCATTAGCGCTAAAGATGTGACGTCGAGACCCGTCAGGCAGTCTAACGCTTATGTTGCCCTCGAATGACCAGACTTTTTTAATTCCAAAATGCTTACGGGCTTGAAGAAATAAGTCTTGCCTGTATTTTGTAAGGAATTCCGATAATTTAAACGAGGTGCCTTTTGACATTGTTTTTTTAAACCAAACAGTTGAGCGCAGTGACATATCTGTGAAGCGCATTAATATAGGACGAGTTTGGTGTAATTTGACCCGGCCAAGTCTGTATGCTGCTCGAAGACAAGATGGTGCTATATCTTTAAGACCTAGATTTTCGTGAAAAATTTTGATCACGACATCGGATAAATCTTCGCCTGGTTTTTCAGGGACACCGCCCATTAAAAGGAATTTCCTGCGATGCCTTGTTTCTATAATGTCAAGCGAGCGACTGACTTCTGCAATTTGCTGGCGAAGAAGGCGAAACATATCCTTGACGTAACTCTGAAAAGCGGTATAGTCCTCGCTGATCCTGTCTACATTGCTACTCTTGGAAGCGCTGGAGTTGAGTTTTGATTCAAAATCTGCCATTTTACGAGTGATGAGCGCTTCCAAAGACTCCTGACTTCTGGAAATATCGACAATTGTGGACATAGTGACGTATATAGTAACAAATGTTCGTGTGTAAAAAAACTTGGTTCCAGCAGTTTGTGCAGTGCTAAAAAAAAACTAGTGCATAAGAAGGTAAACCTTTACGCGATGATGCTTAATCTTGTATTATATAGAAAAATAATAAAAGTATGGTAAATTACCTCTTTTTTTAAAATAAATACGTTTTACGAAACGAAACACGTCTGCACTTATTTACACCCACCCGCGGAATGTCTATCCAAAGCGAATAAATATTTTTGGCCGTAGAAGTAAAAGATGAGATCTCCCTCCGGGCACGGTGAGCGACCGACGTACGACGGTGCAGTACTTCGGAACTTTGATAGCTTAGTTAAGGCTTCGGTGTGTTTCGCTTAAAGTGCGACGATAACGTCGCCACACATTCCGACTTCCTAATTAAGAATCTGTGGCGGCGCTCGCTGTCATCAATTTTATTGTATATCTTAGTTATTGATGTAATTTTATTCTCATATTTTTTTAATTGAAACATTATTTATATTTCCCACTTTGTTATGAGGCAGCACATAAATATTCTTCTAAAAAATATTCTAAACGAGTTACTTTACACCCAGAAATCCTATCAGTTGAGTTAGATTAGAAGCTAGCTTCGTGGTTATTTTTTTTATCACCTAGAAACACTCGAGCACCTAGAAATCCTTACAGTCGTAATTGGGGATACCCCCCTTCCGCCTTCCCCTCCTCTTCTTGTCGGAGAGAGATAAATGTTATGTGTATTTTCTTCTCATGAGAGTGGTGTCGCGGTATACGAAACAATCCCCTCCTCCCCCTCCAATCTTTGCAATCAGCGTCACATAAAATGAAATTATTTAACAAAATGCCCTAAATACTCGTGACTACGCTTATTTATGTTTATTTATTCAATATAACCTATCAAAAATTCACTGCTGAACAAAATCCTTACAAAAGATCGGTTCATATATTTGACAAACTTGTTAAGCTGGCTGTAAGCCACAGTTTTTTATTTTTCTCTCTATCGGCACTCAGGGGACAATATGGGATTATAGTTATTCCTACACCATACTTACGCGGTCGACTAGGTGGTATAAAGGTTTTTGTGATAGTTATTTCATTTTTTATAGTGACTTCTTATATTTACGCAAACATTACACATTTAAATAATACTAGTTTTTACGGATTTTGTCTCGTATATTAACTTGTTTTATACCCGACATTTCGATTACTTTACAGCACCCATGGTCACGGGGGGACTGAGATGTCCAACTTCCAGACGTCTTATTCAACCGCGGCTACCACAGATTAAAACTTAAATTTTTTTTCCAATCTACACAATACGAACTTATAGTATCTTGAAGTCTTGCAGTTGTATGCTTGGGTTGGGAATTAATTTTATTAATTATACGATCCCAAGCAGATGGTAGCGCCCAGCCATCTTCTCTATTAAAATTAGGAAGTTATTTTATTTCAATAACCTCGCGAATAATCCTTGGAAGGAATCGGTGTTCTTTAGTGAGAATTTGTGGTCTATCAAATCTGATGTAGTGACGGGGGCGAGTCTATACGTATTCATAGACCGCAAGCTTCCCGAAACGTCGATTCTTCACATCAGCTTTATGGTCTTTAACGCGAGTTTTAATTGATCTTTAAGTTTATCCTTTGTAAGAAAGACCACATACACAATCAAGCTTGTACACTCCTGCACCTTGTAGAGGGACATTACACTTGACTGATGGTAAAAACTGAACAATCTTCTTAGGCATCTTGAAGTATGTTTTATTGGAAGTGCACTTTAAGATGTTTCAGAGGAGTCACTGACAAGACTGGCTGACTGTGAAGGATGGTGGTGAGAATCACCACATTTCTTATGAATTGTAGAAAAAAGACCCATACAGATAGACATTTGAAAGGTGATTTTCACCACCTTCCTTCACAGTTAGCTACCGTAGGTAAATCTTTGTTTCAGAGAGCACGAGAAATCTGTGACAGTAAACACCTGGCTGCCGATCTCCAACACGTCAAGCAAGTTTTGCATGAAAATAAGCTTCGGGTCCCGCGCCTATATCACACAGTCGAGCGAGTACCTGCTACACTGCCATACAACTGCAAGACTTAAAGGTACTATAAGTTCATACTGTGTAGATTGGAACAAAAACTAAAATTTTAATCTGTGATAACCGCGGTTAAATATGACATCTGGACGTTGAACATCTCAGTCCCGCCGTGACCATGGGTGCTGTAAAGTACTTGAAACCTTGGTTTATAAAAAGTTAATATACGCGATAAAATACATAAAACTTGTTTAAATTAAATTTTTTGTTGAAGCTACAAGACTTAAAAGCATTTTAATAACGTTAGTTACGTTAAGTTAAATACATGAATTATTACTTACCATGAACCCAGCTGCGTCGAATCCATTCATAGTGAGTGTTACTATCAATATGATAACGGCCATATTCTGGTGATCTTACCCAATGAAGGACAAGGCAACCAGACCAATCGCCATACCGAAATATGCTAAAAGATTAAAAAAAAGGAAAGTTACAATTTCTACGTTTCTTTAACTACGTTTCTACAATTCATGGATACCTATTTTTTCAAGCTACTGAGGAGAGCACTTATTAATAAACTAATGAACTAATTCCTTTATTAACTTAATAAACTAATTTGTCTATTAGCTGATGGACTGATTTATCATGTGCCCGCCAATGAAGAAAACATCGTGAGAAAACTAAAAGAAATATCTTACTTATGAAGTCCGTCAACATCTATTAGGGCAACACAGCCATACACTACTTTCCCTAAAATTAGAAGAGGTTTGTGCCTGTGGGACGTAATTATGCTATAACCTCACTCTTTACTTTAACATTAGTTGCGATGTAACTGAAAATTCGAGTACGTGAGAACATTCGTATTTCTATTTCGGTGAACATTGTAACGAAGTCTGTGCATATAGTAAGTGAAATACTTCAAGACACAATAAAGTCCTCCGTGTAACGCAACGTGGTTTCATCTCTTATTCTAAAGGAAGCTTACGACAATTATTTAATGCTTTGAGGGATCTGTACTGGCGGAGTGAATTTCAGGCGCTCATTTTACAGTGTTAATAGGATACTTTACTGTCGTGTCTATTTTTCTTTCGTGACGTTACTGAACCGATTAATAAAACGACTTTTCCAACCAATAAGATACTTTTGGATGCTTAGTAATTTTTTTTTCTTTATCATGAATGTGTTATGCTTGAATGCAAAAATACGAGCATAGGAAAGAACGTTAGAGAAGCTATGGATTTAAATGCAAAATGATTTAAATATAAGAAATACTTGGTTAAAACTGTATTATTATCAGTTCTCCTAAGTAAGAAAGATTACTCGATATTAATTGTTCTAAAATAGTCAACCACAACACCTTGTTTTAATCATAAAAATATCACAATACTACGAACGTTTTCATTTTAAATTTCTCCGAGAAATTTCCTGAGAGATACAAACAGAAAAAAACACAATGTTAACTGTTCCTTCCATTTACTGAATGAAAACTGATTTAATTTGCATTATAAAAAAATTAAAAGACAAAACCTAGCCTAAGACCAACGAATCAAAAGAAATGGAACATCCGTGTATTTCAAATGACCAATTTTCATGCGTAGCAACTATGCCAAATCGCCCCGTCCTCCTCTATAAGACAGTCCATGGGAGAGGTCTTTGTTCAGCAGTGGACTTCAATAGGCTGTAATGATAAAGGCAATAATAAGTCAGCGTACTGTACTATACAATTAGTATACTACAACCCGGTCATAACACAAGTGAAACGTCAAGATCTTGCAAATAGCGGTCTCCCTGCAACCCTACCTTCTTTGCTTTTGATAGAAGAATTGCCACAATATATAGGAAAACGACCATAAGATACATACTTCTGTGTAACTTTTCGGTGCACCTACCTTTACTACTGAAACCGTAGGTGTGTCATGAGATCTACCCTCACTCTGTTTTTCTATTTTTTACACTCCGTTTCCTACATATATACTCGTATATAACAATAAAATATTGGAAAAATTATAATATATATATATATATATATATATATATTGCAAACGCACTTGCCAAGTCAATCTATATATTTAAAACATATAAGATTTTTAACATTTATATGGTCACTATAAAATGTTGTTAGGTTAACTTACTTGTTAGATACGTTGTGTTTTCTTGCGATACATTTCATTGCAAAACTTGTTAAGAATTACGTCGCTAAGGCGGTCAGCGACCGTAGAATCTACATCACCTGAGGATGCCTCGTGTAGAGGCAAAACACGCATCGTTTTATCGTCGATGTTGTGTCTTTCCTAGTGTAATAGTATTGGGAGTAGTGGTGCTGGGATCAGTGGTGACGGGATTAGTGCACGCAATTGAGGGAGGGCGGGAGGTGCTCTTTAAACTAGGTAAGAAACATCATTTTATTTTATTGAGCGGATATGTGCGAGTTAATTTTTACCAACTTTAATATAACGGATTTCCGCAAAGTAACACCTGATTCTATTATTTAACTTCATTATTACTTCACTTCAAACACTTCCAAACAGTCCCACTGACTGCCTTTAGGTCTAGCGGTCGTAAGCGCTACCACTTATTAGGTTCTGATTTCAAGTCAGTCGGACACAGATAAAACGGCATTACGTGTTTTCTGAAGAGTAGGGATGAAACACTGCTAAACTCTTGACTCCGGGCTGCTACTAAGAATTTACTGACAGAAACCCCAACTGATTTTATGCCCGATGACACCTATTACTTAAAGGTCAAAAAACTTTCCTAGGTTGAGTTTAGTTTTATTTTTCATTTGTTTGCAGGATGAGACAAAATGTAGATACTTACGTAATTTAATTTATTTTGTTAGTGTAGGTACCTAGTTTTAGGAAGGCATTGGATTTTAGTTTTCATTTCTGTTTTTTATTCATTCAGTATCAATAATTATTGATGGTGTTTGCTTATTTGGAAAAATATCTTATTTGTTGTATGGAAACAAAATATTGGCTAGAGAAATTCGTGAGCAAATTAGCTATTACGTTATTGTAGTCATTTTGTTGTTTATTTACAAAATAAAACACAAGATTACAGTTTGCCCTATTCGTTTCTTGGTTCGTTTGTGGGTTCGTATATTTGTTCGTTCGTTTATTAGTCTGTTTGACCGACCAATTGAATGTTTTTATTCATAAGTATTAGTGTCTTTCTAAGTCTTTGGGACAGTTTAATTTACAGATAAATCATCAGCACTTAGAATAATAAAAGTACTGATTCCACGCAAACGAAGTCGTGGGCACAGTTAGTTCCTAACTTAAATTGACATATGCACATGCGATGTTTTGGTCGGATGGATTTAGAATAGTGTTAAGATGTGTCTAAATTAAAATGGGACAAAATGGTGGTAGCCTCCATTATGGACACCAAAAACGCAATGACTTTCCAGTCACTGCGTTTTTAGTGACAATGTTCTCAAGTTTTATGATGTACATGTTCCAGTCAAAAGGATTAAAGTCAAGCGCTCACCTCTTCCGTGGATAGCGAGAGGTATTCGCATATACATAAGCCTTAGGGATCGAGCTAGTCAAAGATTTAGAAAAGAGCAGAGTAGTGAGAAATAAAACTTCTGTAAAGCTGCTAGGGATAGGTGTAATCAGATGGTACGCAACTCTGTACGCCGATATATTCTTGATAACATACTCTTTATCTACCAAATCTAACCAAATAAAAGTTGTTACACTCGCTATTTTACCGCGATGTTATTATGTTTCTTGTTTTTCACTTTCTTTTTAACTGTCTTTCAGGATGAAATTTATTAATTGATTCTAAACTAACTTTCCGATGAGCTTGAACCACGATATTTTGAATATAGCTCGAATTCGGATGACAATGCAAGAATATGATTAAAAACCAGGGTATAAATGAAAAAAATAATATTTACCGTTGATTAAAACTACTTTTATGGATTTTATCGCGTTTATTTTACTATTATATTTTAATTCCCGACGTTACGAGCGCTTTCCAGCACCCATGGTCACGGCGGACTGAGATGACTGACGTCCCGATGTCATTGTTAAACCCGGAGTGCCTTCAGATTTTTTAATTATTGTTTATGGTCCGATCTATACAAAATGAACTGACTATGTCCTGAGGTCTTGCAGTGGTATGCTTGGGTTTAGTTTTAATTTTATTGATTATAGGATCCCAAGCAGGTGGTAGTACCCAGCCTCCTTCTCTATTGAAATTTGGATGTTTTTTAATTTCAATAGCCTCACGTATCATCCTTGGTAGGAATCGGTGTTCTTTCGCGAGGATTTGTGGTCTATCAAATCTGATGTAATGGTTGGGGCCGTCTAGGATATGATCGCAAACTGCAGACTAGCCGGAACGTTGATGCTTCACATCAGCTATATGTTCTTTTAGGCGGGTTCTAAATGATCTTTTTGTTTGTCCTATATAAGAGAGACCACATTCAAAATCAAGCTTGTACACTCCTGCATCTTGTACATGAATATGACACTTGACTGATGGTAGGAACTGACTAATCTTCTTCGGCGGCTTGTAGAATGTTCTAATAGAAGCTCGCTTCAAGATGTAGCCAATCTTGTCTGTGACACCTCTGACATATGGTAGTCAGACATATTTTATTTATATTATTAGAAGGGTCTTAGGACTGATGTCACTAATTATAGGCCAATTTCTAAGTTGTGCATTATTTCCAAAGTCTTTGAAAAGTTGGTTTATGAGCAGGTGTATCCGTTACTCAAACAAAGCATAAGCCAGTCTCAACATGGTTTCTTCAAGGGTAGATCCACCGTTTCCAACTTGGTGCTTTTTTATCATTCTTGACTAAACATGGATGATGGTACGTTGTTTATACAGATGATAGTAAGGCTTTCGACCGGATTGAACATAATTTGCTTTTAAAAAAACTTCAGTATGTTGGTATCTGTGGAGACCTACTGCGGTGGTTCTCCTCTTATATCGACAATCGCTCGCAAGCTGTAGTTGTTAACAATTATATATCAGGTTGGGTGTCAATACCAAGTGTGGTACGCCACAGGGGTCCTGGGACCGTTGCTATTTCTGATATTTGTTAACGATATTGAAACCTGTTTTAAATCATCACACCTACTGTGTTTTGCTGATGATATGAAAATATTTTCCACAATCTCATCGCAGGCTGATGCTGAATTAATGCAGGAAGATCTACTAAGATTGGATGAATACTGTACTATTAATAAGTTTGAACTAAATCCATCGAAATGTACCCTCATTACATATTCACGCAAGCGAAACTTAATTAATTTCGGCTATCACCTTAAAGATCAGAAGCTACAAAAACAATCAGTTGTACGTGATCTAGGGATTTTCTACGACTCTAAGTTATTATTCAACAACCATGTTGACAATATCATAGCTAGGGCATCTAAGGCGTTAGGTTTTGTCATGCGTACTGATAAGGATGTTTAATAACATTAAATAAATTAAAATAATGTACTG